TCGGTAAAGTGTGTGTGCACGTGTGTGAACATGTTTTGTGTGAACCTCCTCATGCAGAGTCCAGGGTGAGACTCCTGAGGCTTTTCAAGAGAAAGAAAATGCTTTTGATTTTCAGTGTATCTGCAGCACGTGAATGTCTAAAAAGCATTAATTTAATTAATTAATTAGATTTTGTTTATTTACAGATTCTTTTATGTGATTATTTCATCAGTTGCAGTTCTGACCGGATCCTGTTTCCTGAGAATATGGATTTAAATGTATTTTACCATCTTGACTCCCTAATCACATTACTTGTCTTTATTCATGTTTTATCCTGAGGAAGGTTCGGACTCGAGTTGATGTGTTGAGATGCAAACAACAAGGAAGAATCAGTCTAATCACACCAGTGGTATAGTGATATAATGAAGACCTTTGAATTGATGAGCTGGTCCTGCTGATTGCCTCCTCCAGCCTCCTTCAGTTTGCACACCGAGTACACACCGCATACACAAGATACTGCAATCCTGCGAGTTATACTCAACAGGAAACTGTGAAAATCTGGTTTCTGGCTTATTATGGGTTCTAAACGTGGGATTCATGTAAACATCGGAGCAACAATGGGATTTATCAAACAAACTAGTTCCCTGTATTTGTTTTTACTTTCTAATAACTCTATTTGTAATTTGTACAAAAACCACATAGCTTTCTATATATATGTGTGTCATGTATTTATATTTTCATTTATATATTTTTAGCAATAAGTGGTAAGTATTTGGAAAATGTATTTAAATACAATTCTACTCTTATCAACCCCTCTGTGCTTTTATTGCACAAGCCACATTCACTCACACAAGCCAAAGTGTTTCGACCGCCCCCTGGTGGCTGGTGCAGTATAGGTCATGAACCCTGCCTCCTCCATGTTAGCAGATGGGACATGGTCTAAACTAAAAAGCCAAAGTTCAAATACATGTTCCTCAAAGATGTGTCCTGTCAGTTCTAACACACTGATGTATGTTGTGTTGTGATGATGTGTGCGTCTCTTATGACTTTGGTTTTAATTTGTTTGTTAAAACGGCCGAGCGTATTTTTATCGGCGTGTTTATCGGCGGGACCTCGATGCCGCGGCTTCATATCATGATCACCACCGCAGAGAAAATGTTGAAAGGAAAAGATGGCGGCACCCGGATCTGAAATATTTTGGCTTCATTTCTGGACGGTGGGAAAGTGGAGACGCAAATAATAATGATCGAGACACGAAAAAAAGCTGAAACTGCGATAAACAATCTGTTTGATGTTGTGAAAGGGTGTGAAATGTCGTGATTGACAGCTGAGTCTGACTCACGATTGGTTGAGTCCCTGCGGCTCCATCCCCCGATGTCAAAGATGGCAGCATTCGCTCCAGGATATTTTGATTTAATTTCTAGATAGAGGGAGGAAGTAGAGAATTTTCTATAAGCAAATTATGATCTATACAATAATAATAATATATATAATAAGAGTATTTTCACTTCCGGCGGTGAACAAGGTTACGTTGCGCACTGTTCTGAAGACATCGTATAAACATCCACTTGTTGTGTTTCCTCCGACTCAACCTTGTGGAAACGAGGCTCCACAATAAGTTCACATTGAAACCTCCATTATGTTTCCTGCAATAAAAAGCAGCAGCCGGTGGAACGCAGAGCTTCAGGTAGCCTCCTCTCCTTTTGTGTTTTTTAAATGTTCCCTTTTGTGGAGAGAGGAGAGCGGCTCGGCCTCCCTTTGAATTTGTTGACATTTATTTGACACGTGGATGAAGAGAGCCACGCAGACATGAAAGACAGCGCTCACAGGGCCGAGGTTCGGGGGCCCGGCGTCCGTGAGCAGCATTGATGCGGCTGCTCGGAGAGAGAATGAAGGACTCAGATGTCACGAGCATCTTTACTCCTCTGCTGCTTTTAGAGTTTCGCTCTCCTGAGATGTATGAATGGCGACTGTGGTCCACGCTGACCAGGAGACACTGAGCTGTGCAAACACACGACAACTGCAAAGCTGCTTTCAGAGCGGCAGTGAACTCATCTCCCTGAACTATTCCTGAGGCTGGGGCTGCATGTGAGAACACAGACGTCCATGATGCTTCCAACATGTGGAGGTCGTGAATACAAATATCTTAAAATTAAAAAAATAAAGGAGTTACACACGTAGACAAGAGATTCGAGAGCTTTCGGTGAAGCGGGCCGATGCTGGTGTCGACGTGCTGTAAACAAAAACACATCATTTTTCGTAGAATTGACTTTAAATCAGGTGAGAACGTTTTGAATACGAGCGTGAATGGTTGTTTGTCTGTTTGTGATTCGCTGCCACCTGCAGGCGACCTGTCCACGATGTCCCCCTCCTCTCAATGTCAGCTGGGACTTGCTCTCGCTCCCCCCAGATAATGGATGATTCACTGTGATTCACCATTCGGTGTGTATAAATACTTTACAGTACATGTATTATTATATACTGTTATCAGGTGTTGTGTATCCTGCTCACACGGTTTGTTTACACAGATCATGGTTTCAGTGACCGTGCTTTTAAAGATGCGATGTGACCTCCACGTGTCACGGTCCTCTTCACAACATGTGACCTAGTTCACACTACAAATATGAATTCATCATTTAAAGTAGGAGGCTTTTGTTCCAGCTGTTATCAGGATGTCCACATGTGCAGACAGCGAGAGCACTTCAAACTACAGTGTGACGGAGAACCCGTACTCACGTGAACACATAATGGGATGTAGAGTCTCATCTGCGTTTTCGCTCTGAGCGATATTTGGTTTCTGCTGTGAAATCCATCCTGACCACTGGAGCTTCACGGGAAAAACAGGAAAAGGCGACATGTCAGCGCACAAACACACGCCATCGATTACACTTCTGACTGATGAAGCAATCCTCCGCTACTTTGCAACATTACCTAACGACCAGGCCTTCTCTCCGATGCCACATAATATAATAAAGTGATACTTTATTGATCCTTGCAAGAAAAACGCTCTTTTACTTGCACATTTATATTTTCTCATTTGGCAGAAGCTTTTATCCAAACAGCCGGTGGACGACGCCGGAGACCTCGAAGTTAAAATAAAGTGCAGAAGATGTTCAATGAGAGAGAGGGAGAGAGAGAGAGAGAGAGAGAGAGAGATTAGGGTGAGGAGGAGATCAGGTGGAGAGGGAGAGCTGGGTAAAGTGCTGGTTAGACCTGTTGGTGCGTTCGAGGTGTGAGCAGAAGAGAGGCGTCTTCAAGAGGTCGTTGAAGATGGAGGGACGTGTCACGTGACAGCGTTCGGCTCGTCGTCAGGGACGTGTCGACTGGGAAAGGGCTTCAGGTTTTTTTCCTCTCCAGGATGATTCGTCGTCTCCTAAAGGATAAAAACTGAACAGGTTGATTAAATCAATGAATCGAACACAAATGTCGAGCAACGGCCGTGATGACGAGCTCCGCTCTGCATGAATCATGGTTTTTAAACACCTCAACCTTTCTCTTAAAACTGAAAAGGCCAACTTGCTGTTTGTCCCCATAAAGAAGACAAGTTGTCCTACATGCTTTTCTTGCCATTCACCCATTCACACGACCTTCTGGTCGGAGGACGACCGCTCTACCCCTCAGCCACAGCCTCGTGTAAACCCAGGGGTTAGTCGATATCGTCCTCGTTGGAGGATGCGCTGTCAAAATTATGAAAAGTGATTCTGATTTCTCAAATTCCCGTCCGTGGAGCGGCACTCATCCATTTCTCCGTTGCTGTGGCGTCTTCAATCAGAGGAATGCGGCCCTGTGTCCCCGTGTGACCCCTTCACAGAGCGTCAGTGTAACAATAATGCAATAACAATAACGTAACTAGGTAATAACGACAGCAGCCGGATTGTTCCCCGGGCGAAGGAGCCGAGAGGAAATGATCATAACATGGTTGGAGATCCCTCGGGATCTGCTGCAGGGCTTTCTACAGCTGTGAGAACTGCACCCACTCACACAATGCATTGTCTAACTGTACAACACACACACACACACACACACACGTATATAGTGAGTCAGTCTCAGCTGTCAATCATGATGTTTCACCTTTTATGTTATATAATCAAATAACCAATTAAAACCAAATCTCTGGGAAACGAACACTTACATACATCAGTGTAATTACAACTATCTACAATGAAGCTTCTTTTAAAACATTTCACTTCTCAGTTTTTTGGTCCATGATCCATATGACAAGGCGGAACAGGCAGGATTTATGACCAGTACTGCAGACAGCCACCAGGGGGCTTAGTTTTCCTCTTTGGGAGCTGTCACGTAGTCCGTGTTTTTTTTACGCAGGAGCAGTGAGAAACCGACGGCTCGGACTCGTGACTGTGCGTTAACTGTGCGAAAAGCTTGTAAATTCATCCGACTTCTCCAGTAACTCCTCGCTCCCCCGTTCACAACTGAACGATAAGAGCGCACGAGTCGACAAAGCTGAAATTCATTCGACTCTAAAATGAGTTGTACGTCTCCGAGATCTGGATAAAAAATTAAATCGAACATGAATGATCGAAGTGAATCGTTGGGGATTTACCTCAAACCACTGACCAGAAGAACCCTTTCCTGTTAGGGGACACGAATTTTGTCCCAAGTTGGACAAACTATTCCTAATGAGCTGGTTTCAGTCTGAAATTTGTCCCTAAAGGCAGAATTTAACACACACACACACACACTCACACACACACACACACACACACACACACTCACACACACACACACACCTCCTCTTCCTTTTAAAAGCTATTGTGGAATGTGTGAGCAAAATAAACCTTTTCATCCGTTTGGTAACTGACTGATCTATTTCACTCTCCGCTCCGGATCAGAAAGAGTTTCCAGACTCTATTTCAATTCAACAAAAACATTATTGTTGTGGGGGTTCACTTGTATTTCTGAGAGCAAAAAACTTGGAGCCGATCTGACCCCAATTTTTTTTTGTTTTTGTTGGCGAAGCATTCCTCTGTGMAAAAAAAAAAAAAAGAAAGAAAGGAGCCGCATTCAGGAACTGAATGATTTATTGAATGTGAAGCATTAAAACTTAAATAGATACATGATGAACACTAGAAGAGAGTTTATACACACAGCAACGTACACAGTGCTGCAGAAAACACTGTATATTCAGTCGGATTTTATTTATCCTGCAGAAACAAGAGGAATCGAATGAGTATATAACGAATTAAACAGTGATTATACAATGCTCCTGTATTTCTTTTTAGATTAAGACAGTGCATTATACAAAAGGATAGAGTGAAGCCTTTATAAGGTTTTAGAGCGTGAAGACGACACAGCTTTGGTCAAATATTTCAACACAATCATAAGAAACGTTAAGACGAGAGGAGAGAAGACGTGTTCCGATACGAAGGATGTTTAAATATCACTTATCAGTAAACAAGAGCAGAGAGAAGAAGAAGTTCAAATGAGGAATAAATACAAGTGAACGTTTTCTTTTTCTGAATTAAAAGTAAAGTTCATTATAAATTCTTTGTAAAAATCGAGTGAGGGGAACACAAATCCTTTTTATCTCTACAGACGTGCTCCGGGGTCTGGATCGTTTCAGCAAATTATTGTGTGAGAACACAAATGTCAGTTGCTTGACGAAGACGTCAACTTGGAAATATCCTTTTTTCAATTGTCACATATATAAAAAAAAAAACACGACCTTTTGTCCGTGAGTAAAGTTGCTGAGCAGCCGTGATGTGAACGACAACACTGAACTTTCCACCGCAGAATTTATACGCCACGTCCCGCCTCCCGCTGCTCTACAGGCTCCACCCCTCGGACAATCTGCTGCTGCTGCTTCACGAGAAACACAAACTACAGAAAAGGTTTGGACCCAGTTCACGTCTTAAGACGCGCTACGATTTAAATCGACATTAATACTGTCCGTTTATAAAAAAGCCAGAAACTGAATGTCTTTGCAGGAAACAGGTTTGAGTGGTGCATCGCTCAGCAGATACAAAGTGTGACGCATGCGTTCAGATAAAAAAAAACACATTTCTCCAACAAGCAGAAGGAAAAACAAAGGTCATTGATAACGATGTCGTCCGTGGAGACAAAGCCTTCGCCCGTGCTGCGTGTGGCGCTCAGTCCACGTTCCTGTACCTGGTGAAGAGGTTGTAGAGGACGCGCAGTGTCGATTTAAGGTCACAGTTCACAATGTCTGGGGGGAAAAAGAGAGAATGGAGGAGTTTTAGATATAAAACCACAGCTGAGATCGTTTTCCTGCAGGATTAGATCCACTCAGGTCCTGTCTTACATCGTGTGTGTGTCTAATGTGTTGTATTTGTCCTCTGGAGAGGTTTTACTTTAAATTTATAACAGATAAATTCTAAACCGGCTCGATCACGGAGAAGTTTATCAATGAGCATTGTTCCTGTATTTTACAACTAATAAATAAATAATGATGCAGGCCTGATTTCATTCAGCCTCGTGGTTTGTTTCCTGCTAACGAGGCTCAGATGACGCCGTTGAGCTGCTTTGGTTTCATCCTGGTTGTTTAAACTGGAAATGCAGAATGAACACAATCAGAATATTTCAAAATGTTTGACCATAATGTTCTGACTCATGAGCTCTAAGCACTCGTACTTGATGCAGTAAAAACTACTGAGTGCTCATGGGAACACGTGGACAGGGATCACAGCTGCTGTGATGGTGTCCAGTTTATCTGATCATATTTAATAAATGCTTCAGGCTCCACAGTGTAAATGTGTCCCACCCTCTGGTCGGGGCTTTGGTTTCTCCAGACCTCCATCCTGCATCAGCTCGAAGGAGAAGGACACGTTGTGGACCTGTAGAGACGAGGACAGACATGTGAGGACACACACACACACACTCAACATTAACTTTACACAGACGCAGTTTTCAGATGATTCTATTTTATAATGATTCTTGTGTTTTGGTTTGATTTCGAAGCTTGGTTTTGTTTCAGTCATTCGTGTTACTGATGATTTATTGTAATAAATATAAATAAAATATATTATTTTTACTATAAAAACATTGGAAAATTTGGGTCCAAACATTTTTCTGGATTCTCAGGAATCTCCTCGTCTTTCCAAGTTGACAGCCGCTCTGGAAATGTTCAATAAAATATCTGGACTTTAGTCTGAAAGCAGCTGTACAGGCCCGTGTTGACAACTGCACACACGCACACACATGCACACAAACACACACACACAAACACACACACGCACGCCTCCTTGTTGATAAGAGAACGTTGCTAAAATCCCACAATACACTCCGGGTCGATTCAGTCGTGTTACCACAGCTTCCTGTGTCGGCAAACACAACACGGCTCTGCTCTGTAAGACCATAAGCTGCCGGCAGCAGCTGCACAAACACTCTGCTCCATCATTTATCAATGGATACGTGTCGCCGGTGTCACTCACAAAACCTCCAACACACCGATACTGTCACTGATAGAGACGTCACAGACGGGACAGGACAAACGGGACAGGACGGAGGAGACAGGACGGAGGAGACAGCTTGTTGTGTTACTGTGTGTTATTAAGGTGAAATCCACAGAGGACATAAACTGGGGCTGGAATTTTCTTCTGCTGTTAATTAGGCTCAGTGAACGTAAACAAACGGACAAACAGTGAAAACAGAAGCCGACAAAATAAAACACAGAGCAACAGGACGTGAAGCTGAGGGCGGAGCCAAACACTGAAATGTGCAGACACGATGGAATTGTGACCAGAGGACAATGGTTCAATTGGCTCTCGAACAAATATGGATACGCATCATATCGCGACCTGCCCTGTGACCCCCCCCCCCCCAAAGGATCCACTAACATGCAGGAGGTGTGGTTTATGACCTATAGTGCAGCCGGCCCCCAGGGGGCGATCAAGATGATTTGGCTTCATTTTTGAAGCTGTCATGTCGTCCATCTTTATTTAGCAATTTAAAAAAAAATACAAGACCAAACAGATGGAAGAGATAGAAATAACTGAATGATGTTTTCTGTCCAGTGTGTGTGTGTGTGTGTGTGTGTGTGTGTGTGTGGGTGTGTGTGTGTGTGTGTGTGCTCACCCTGCTGTGAAATACTAAAAGCTTTGCCCAACAAGAGCTTATTGTGTGATGAGCATGAGTCAAAAAGAAAGAAGAGAATGAACCTCGAGTACAGATCTACACACACACACACAGACACACACACAGACACACACACACACAAACACACACA